TAATAATAAATAAAATAATAAAAAATAAAAAGAAAGGGGACCTAAATCCAGAAGGCAATGGAAAATGCTTTTTCTGTCCACTGGGAGATCTTCACATTCTTTGTAATGAAGTAAGACTAATAGAGTCCGTATGCTGATAGTTGCTGACCACCAATAACAAGTCAACTTTCTCCTAAGTGACATTTCAGAGGTTTAGATTCAGGCCTCACTTTTTGTTTTGGAGGGGGTACCGGCAATCAAACTCAGGACCTCACACTTGCCAGGCAGTCAGTGTGCCACTGAGCTAAGTCCCAGGCCCATCTCAGATATTTATATGCCTAAACACTTAACCTATTAAAATTCCTTCTCAGGTATGTCAAAGTAGCTGTTTGCTAATTGTATAAATAAGGAAGTCAGAGTGGGTAGTGCACACCGTTGGCTGGAACAGTCAGTGCGTAGATCTGTCCTCGAGTGAGGGCCAGCTGGGTGTCCACCAGGACTGGACTCCTTTGAGCCCCTAGAAGAGCCAGCTACTCTTTGAAGGTATAGACCTTCTGCCCTCTTCGGAGCCTACCTCAGCTCCTGGGATGTGTCCTCAGCTTTCAGAGCAAATCCATCCCTTTCTACCACCTTACTAGTTTGTCCTTCGTGCACACAGTAATGTTGTTGGGCCTCTGGAAAGCAGCCGCTTTGGGATGCATTTTCATGGGACCATAAAGAGTTGTGCTGAGTTGCTGGGTTCCTGTGTGGGCCAGGTGGTCAGAGCAGGGTCCCATCATCCCCCAACACCTGTCACACTGTCCTACTTTTTTCTTTCTTCTTTTCTAAGTGTGTACTCAAGCTGCAAATCCCTGGAGGCCCCAGCCTGCTGAGATGCATAGGATTCACCAGTTTCTCTACAGTATTGGTGCCAAAAGGGCCTTAAGAGAGAAAATCTACCCCCTGCAAGTCAAGGCCTCAGCTCTCGAGAGTTTACACTTTATCTCTCCAGTGTCCTGCATGTCCCATGAGCCACCCAGCTAGGCATGAGCTAAAACCCATCAGCTGGTCCTGGACCACATTCAGGAGAATAGGTCACAGTGGCTGGACAGTGAGGTCACAGAGAGGTTTGTTTGACCTGAACTCCATGAGGGAGGGGCCCAAGAGGCCCCCCAGGCCCAGACAGGGCACATGGTGTGAGAAAGGCAGTGGGGACAGGGCCCAGAGAGATGAGGGCAGGAGCAGGGAGGGGACAGTCAGGATGGTGAGGAGAAGCCTGAGACAGAAGCTGCAAACATGGACTGGGCTGAGCGGCCGGGAGGAGGGGCTCCGGGTGAGGGGGTGGTGAGGACGGGAGCAGAGCAGACAGAGGGTTGGCCTGAGGACCAGGAGATGGATGGGAGGGTTTGACAGCACAGAGTAGAAGTCAGATGAATTCCAAGACAGGAGTTCATGAAAGACAGGTTGAGAGAGCTGGGCATGGTGGTGCACATCCATAATCTCAGCACTTGGAGGCTGAGGCAGGAGATTTGCCAGACATTCACACATTCCAGGCCAGCCTGAGCTACATAGTGAGTTCAAAGGCAGCCTGTACTACCTAGTGAGAGCCTGCCTCAGAAAGAAAGAAAGAAAGAAAGAAAGAAAGAAAGAAAGAAAGAAGAAAGAACAAAAGAAAGAAAGAAAGAAAAAGAAAAGAAAGAAAGAAAGAAAGAAAGAAAGAAAGAAAGAAAGAAAGAAAGAAAGAAAGAAAGAAAAAGAAAGAAAGAAAGAGAAAGAAAGAAAAAAGAAAGGGAAAGGTTGAGATCAGGGTGGAAAAGAGGTGCAGCCCTCACAGAACTCGAATGCTCCCCACTTCTCTGGTAGATAAAGCGGAGCTGTCCTTCCTGTGGCCCAGAGCATGGGAGTGAAATGAAGCAGGAGAGAGGGAACTCTATTTCTTTTCAGTTGTTCCCTGCAGAGCTGGTGAGTCTGGGGCAGGAGCAGTGCTGAGAATGCAGGACAGAGGACCTGACCACTTCAGGGCTGCGAAAGACCAGGCGTCCTCCCTCACCCCCAGGTGGAGCATATCATCTCCTTCCTCCCCGTAAGAGACGCGGTCACCCTGGGCCAGACCTGCCGCTACTTCCACGAAGTGTGCGACACCGAGGGCGTGTGGAGGCGCATCTGCCGCAGGCTCAGTCCTCATCTCCGGGAGCAGGGTTCTGGAATCCGGCCCTGGAAGAGAGCGGCTATTCTGAACTGTATGCCTTTCCCCGCACCCCTCTCTCCTCACCTGTGCCCTTGATTATTCTGGGACTCCTGCTCTGTAAACCAGCCCGGTGACCTCTGCGCTCCCTGTCCATCTTGCAGACCCTTGGCTTTGGCAACTTGTCGGATTCAAACAGACCCCAAGAAGTAGCCCTCCTGAGACCATAGGGCCACCCTCTGATAGAAGTCCCACCCAAGTGTCCCTGTGCGTACCAGCTCTTCCGCATCCCTCCTCACCAAGCCTGAACTGTTCCTTCCTCTAAACCAGGGTTGCTGTTCCTTGTCACCACAGACATTGTGGGTGAAGTCATTGTTTGTGATGGGGTCTGTCTTGTGCATTCTGTTCTGCTTCGCACGGTCTCTGGCTTCTGCCCACTAGACGCCAACAGCACCTCCCTGGTTATGAGAACCAGTGACAAAGTCAGCCCCACTCTGAGAACCATGCTGTAGACTAAGTCCTCCAGGGAGCCCCTATCCAGTTGCTGCTGTCACACAGACTAGGGCTGACTACTGAACCAGAAATCAGATCCACTTCCTGGATGAGGGAAGGTTACAGGCCTTTCTTGGTCATGTCAATGCCTTTTCTGCATCTTTTCTATGTACTTATTCTTATCTTCCCTTCTTGTCTTTTTTTTTTCTCTCTCTCTCTTTTTGAGACAGGGTCTTACTATGCAGTTCAGGCTGGCTTTGAGCTCACTTTGTAGCCCAGGCTGGTCTCAAACTCCCAGCGATCCTCCTGCCTCAGCCTCCTGATTGCTGGGATTACAGGCGTGCACCACCACGCCTGGCTTTTTTTTTTTTTTTTTTTTTTTTTTTTTTTTTTTTTGTCTTTTGGTCCTTTGATGCAAAGTTGGACCAAAGAGGGGCTCATTTAACAGCACAGGTGTGCCCCAGAGCTAAGCCAGTGCAGGCTGGAATTTAACCTAAGGTTTTCACACTGCCTTGGGAAGAGCTGCATTTCCCAGGCCTGGGAGTAGGGAAAGTTAAATAGCACAATGTCTGAGAAATCAAGTTTTCCCAACCTCTGACCATTCTCCTGTGTGTCAGCCCCAGCCCCTGAACCTTCCATCTCCTTCCCTTCTCCAGACACGAAGGGCCTGTATTTTCAGGCATTTGGAGGCCGCCGCCGATGTCTCAGCAAGAGTGTGGCCCCCCTGCTAGCTCATGGCTACCGCCGCTTCTTGCCCACCAAGGACCACATCTTCATCCTCGACTACCTGGGAACCCTCTTCTTCCTCAAAAATGCCCTGGTCTCCTCCACCCTCGGCCAGATCCAGTGGAAGCGGGCATGCCGCTATGTCGTGCTGTGTCGTGGAGCCAAAGATGTGAGTCACAGGACCCTGGCAGCTGAGAACTAGGGGTCCCAGTTCTGAGGTGACCTTCTCAGGACATCTCCCTCCCTCACCCTGGACCCAGTGTCTCACCTCCCACCCACTCTGTTCCCATTCTGAGGCCTTGAATGCTAGACATCTCGTTTTCCTCCACAGTTCGCCTCTGACCCAAGATGTGACACGGTTTATCGTAAATACCTCTACGTCTTGGCCACTCGGGAGCAGTCCGGAGTGGCAGGCACCACCGGCAGCCGCGTCTGTGACTGTGTGGAGGTCTACCTGCAGTCCAGCGGGCAGCGGGTCTTCAAGATGACCTTCCACCACTCCATGAGCTTCAAACAGATTTCGTTGCTTGGGCAGGAGACCCAACGGGCTCTGCTGCTCCTCACAGGTGTGGGCGTGGCCTAAAGCAGTGATTTGCAGATGTTTCCTGCAGATTCTTCGGGGCTGCTACAGGGAAGGGGGAGGGAGGCATTTCACACCAGGTCCTGCGTGCCACCTGTCTCAGGCCTGATCCAAACAGCTCTGCTTTGATCTGCCCCCTTGTCTAGGCCTGGGCATCATATTTCATGTGAATAAAGGACCCTACTGCCAAAAAAAAAAAATCACTACTCTAGCGAAAGCCTGAATTTTAAAAATCTAATCTCCCATGCCCCATGTCAGGCATCTCACCTCATACCCTAAGCTGGCCCCCATGCCCCAGTGTCATCTATACTTGATCACCCCTTCAAGCCTGAGACTGCTGGACTTCTGGTGCCAGGCAGGCCCCCAAGTGTCATCTTCCCAACACTCAGACTAGATTCTGCCACGTGTCATGGCCAGTTTTCTGCCTACTACTCTCGAATGCTGACGTAGTTCCACGACTTAATGTGGGGGCTGGGAGCTGGGGGACCTGGGACCCTTCCCATTTCATCTCTACCCTTTTTTCTTCCAACCTCTCTCTAGGGCAGTAAAGTTTCATCCGTGTGGTTTAGGGAGCTCACTGGGACATTGATGTGGATATTGATGAGTCCTTGCCCCAGCATAACTGTATGCCTCCCCCCGTCCCCCAGAGGAAGGAAAGATCTACTCTTTGGTAGTGAATGAGACGCAGCTGGACCAGCCACGCTCCTACACGGTTCAGCTGGCCCTCAGGAAGGTGTCCTGCTGCCTGCCTCACCTGCGCGTGACCTGCATGGCTTCCAACCAGAGCAGTGCCCTCTACATCACAGGTAAGAACCACTTCCCTTCTTCACAAGCCCCCAGCCTTGGGCAGACACCCTTACCCTTATTCCAGCTGCGTGGCGCGAGCCCCTTAGGGCATCCTCAGGAACAGCTGGGCCTAGGTTCCCAACAATCAGGGCTAATGCGTTTCTAGTGGGTCTGATACTCCCTGGGCTTGCAGGTGTCACCCCAGGTGGGGCCGCTGCCCTAGGAAATGGGTGCCCAAAGCTGCTGAGCTGAGGGCTCCCGACCCCCCAGACCAGGGGGGAGTGTATTTTGAGGTGCATACCCCAGGGGTGTATCGTGACCTCTTTGGGACCCTTCAAGCCTTTGACCCCCTGGACCAGCAGATGCCGCTTGCGCTTTCCCTGCCTGCCAAGGTAGGATCCTGGAGGGGCCGGGCAGACCAGAGGGGTGGGGCCTTGGGGGCTGACGGCCTAAAATAGGAGCAGGGATCCATGATTAACCAGGGAGGAACAGGGGACGTGGGGAGAGGCAAGGCCACCAGGGATGAGCTGGAGGTGGAGGGCTAGCAGATGGGAAATTCTGAATCTCAGGGTTTTTCTGATGGGAACTCAGTTCCCACCTGCCCTCTCTCTTACCTCCTAGGTCCTATTCTGTGCTCTTGGCTACAATCACTTCGGTCTGGTGGATGAATTTGGCCGAATCTTCATGCAGGGGAATAACAGATATGGGCAGCTAGGAACAGGGGACAAAATGGACCGAGGGGAACCCACACTGGTGAGGTTGTTTCCTGGCAACCCTCTTCCGAACCCTGTTCCTCCAATTCCCTGACCCCTGCGTCTATATACTTTTCCAACTCCCTTGGCATCCACTTTTCCTCCCCAGGAAAGCAAAGCCAGTGTATGAAATGCCTGTTACATTGTTGGGTGTTCTTACGTGGGGTTGGCACTAGAAGGTCTGCTCGGTGTGGTTCACTCGTAAACCACAGCCGGAATTGAATGAGGGTGTGGCTGGGGGACCTGAGAAGGGAGGGACCAAGGAATGCCCGGAAAGGCCATGGCACACAGGAGCCTGGTGAGGTACAGCAGCACCAGAGACAAGGGCCTGTGGTAGGTAATACGTAGCAGCAGCAGCAATGGAAAGGAACCAGTACGGGAGATGTTTTAGGAGAAAATAAACCGGCCCTGTTTATTTTGCTGGTTTCAGGAAAAAGAGAGAGAGTGTGAATTTGGACGTGTTGCAGGGACAGTGAGACACTACATAAGAACTGTCTAGCTGGCATTCCGAGTGGGAACAAGGCTGGAATGACAAAAGCAGAGACAGAGAAGCAAATCCAGGGCAGCAGCCACTGCTGTGGGCAGGGGTGAAGAAGCAGTGTCTCTGGGGCGGGAGGCTCACCCCTCCATTGCTGCATTCCAGAGGCCAAAGAGCAGAAAATTTCAACAGGGTGTGTGTGTAGGGGGGCTGCCAGTGACAGCATAGGAACACATTTACTGACACAGAAAGACAATTATGCTATATATTTAGGTGAAAAAAACCTTTATGAAATGGGTTACATAATACAATCTCATTTTTGTTTGGTTTGTTTTTTGAGACAAGGTTTCTCTGTGTAGTTCAGGCTGGCCTTGAACTCACTATGTAGCCGAGGCTGGCCTCAAATTTGTAGTGATCCTCCTGCCTCAGCCTCCCACGTGCTGGGATCACAGGCTTATGCCACAATGCCCAGCTTTACAATCTCAGTTTTGTTTAAAAATATACAACCTAAGTCGGGTATAGTATAATCCCAGCACTCAGGAGTCTGTGGCAGCAGGATTGCTGTGAGTTCGAGAGCAGCCTAGGCTACAAAGTGAGCTCAAGGCCAGCCTGAACTGCATAGCAAGACCCTGTCTCAAAAAGACCAAAAAATTAAATTAAATTAAATTAAAATAAAAATACACAACCTATGTGTATTTGTTTAGGCAACAATGAAGACTACCCAGCAAGATGTTAATTGTTCATGGTGGACTTTCCAGTTGATTTTTAAATTTTTACTTGTCAGTATTTTGTAATTTTCTTTTAGTGAGCATACATTACTTAACTGTGTCTTTGAAATTAAAATGTTAACAGCCTCAGGAGAATGAACATATAGAAGAGGTCCTGGGTTTTAGCAGCTGAGAAACTAAGTATCTTTGGAGAATGCAAAATGTAGCATGGCAGGGAGAAAAGCCAGGTGACAAGGAGGTTCAGGAAAAACTGGTAAGGGACAAGAATATGGTCAGCCTCAGACTGGCCAGGTAGCCGATTCTGCTACTTTAAAGAAAGAGGTAGGAGTTGGACGTGGCGATGCACAACTGTAATCCCAGTGCTTGAGGCTGAGGCAGGAGGATCACCGTGAGTTGTAGGCCAGCCTGAGCTACAAAGAGACAGTGACAGAGACAGGAAGCAATAGGAATCAGATTTCTTTCTTTTCTTTTTTTTGTCAAAATAAGGTGGCCACTTTAGAAAATAACAGCGGACTCACTGAAAATGCTAGAGAGAATGAAAAGACAGTCTTTCCTTGAGGGAGTTGGGTAACAAGAAATGTGCAGGGAAGGAGAGGAGGCCTCAGCCCTCGGGAAGAGGAAGGCTCAGCCCCTGAGTGAGGCTGAGAACAAGAGAACAGAGCGGGCCTCAGTCTCAGGCAAAAGTTTATTTTCTGGGGAGCAAGATGAGTTACCCACCAAGGTGCTGCACATCGGACTGCTGGGGGCTGCAGGCTATGGAGATTGGTGCTGCTGTGCATTTGGCTCGGGGGATCCCATTCCTTCCCTAGATGACATTCTTCCGTGAGCCTTCCAGTCAGCCTTCTCCCACGGCCCCCAGCCCCCTGGTGTTCCCCTCTCAGGGACCCTGGCCGTGTGTCCTCAGGTACCTTATCTGCAACGCCCCATTGCCCTGTGGTGTGGCCTCAACCATTCCCTGGTGCTAAGCCAGGACTCCGACTTCAGCAAGGAGCTGCTGGGCTGTGGCTGTGGGGCAGGCGGCCGCCTCCCTGGCTGGCCTAAGGGGAGCGCCTCCTTCGTCAAGCTCCACGTCAAGGTCAGAGCAGGGGCGGGCGAGTGGGACCCCCCAGGAGGGGCAGAGCAGTAGACCAGGGAGCCCACAGGACTGTCCCTGCAAGGACCCAGCAGGCCCATTCCCTGCATCTCCCCGCCTCCCTCTCCTGCCACGTGCACGCTTGTAGCTCTGTCCCTTAGCAGACCCTGCTGGCCTTGCGTGACCCTGCACAGGCCCTTTGTGAAGCCAGCTACAGCTCACTTGCTGGCTCGGGGCTGCTCTGAGAGCAGAAACAACCAGCCAGATTAGTCAGCTTCCTGGGAGCCCCTGCAGCGCGAGCGCACACCCCTCCTCTCCTCCAAGGTGCCTCTATGTGCCTGCTCCCTCTGCTCTACTAGAGAGTGCCTCTACATGCTGTCCAGCCATGACATCGAGCACTGCTACGTCTACCGGGATCTGCCAGCCACCTGGGCAGTGCAGAATCTGGAGCCCAGCCTGGCAGCTGGAGCCTCCCAGGACCCTGGGCGGGCAGCCCAGGCCTGCGAGGAGTATCTCAGCCAGATCCACAGTTGCCGCACGTTGCAGGACCGCATGGAGAAGATGAAGGAGATTGTGGGCAGGATGCCCTTGGTGGCCGCACAGAAGGATTTCTTCTGGCAGGCGCTGAACATGCTGCAGAGGGCTGCTGGGGGGATTGGCCCAGGCCCCTCAGCCCCTGAAAGCTGACCCCTCTCCTGGCCTCACCCCTAGTGGGACAGTGGCCCTAGGTCAGGGGTGGCAGTGAACACTGTGTATGCACATGGGGAGGGGCCACGGGGGGACGGGAACAGCCAGACCTGGTAGGATAAGGTAAAGAATGAACGCTTTTGTAAAATAGTTAGGGGGCTGCCCAGATGGAGCCCCCAACGTGATATCATGGACAAGAGATTTGATGGATAAACAGAATAAAAGGTTGAAATAAGGCCCGGATTGGAATCCTGGAGCCTAGGGGTACAGAGCAAGGGATGGGGTGCCCGGCGCCTGGCCTGGTGGGTAAGGCAGAGCAGGAGCGGATCAAATGCTCTGTTGCCGGGAGCTGTGGCACCTGAGTTCCCCTGCCTCCCTTCCCCTTCCCACTCCCACGCCCTCAGCTGGTCTCTTTGAACTTGGAAGTCCTGGCCCCACCTTTGGGGACAACTCAGCAGGTACCGTATGGCTCCTGGGTTTAGGTCCTCCATCAGGTCCTCCATCCTGACGGGGGTGGTGGAGGAGCCCACACCTCCAGACTCCACTTTCTCCCCCTCATCCCAGTGTAGTCCACACGCTCCTCCCTTCCTCCTCTTTGCTTCCCAGGCCTGGTCTCCTGTGCGCTTTCTCTCCCTTACTTTCTGTTCCTTCCCCTTGTCCTCAGTAGAGGGACACTCCATGCCTCCCTGCCTGTCTCTTGTACCTTCAGATAATTGGAAGAAAAAATAGGTGAGCAGAATTTTCCCTTCCTGGCCAGGTGTGGTGGGCTTATGCCAGTAATCTCATGCTCTGCAGGGTTGTGGGAGGATCACCAAAAGTTTGAGCTCAAGCTGGACAACTCAGTGAGCCCTTGTCTCAAAATAAAAAATTCAAGAAGTGCTGAGGATATAGCTCAGTGTGCAGGCCCTAGGTTCAAGCACCACAGGGGGAAAAACAAAACTCCCCCCACCCCAGGCATAGAGGGGAGGCAGTAGAAATGGGCAGCTGGGTGGCCAAGAGGCAAATTGGGGGGGGGGCAGATCTCAGGAAGGGCATCTCTGGGTGCTGAGGAAGCAGGGGCTAGACAGAGCTGAGTCCCCAGGAAGGAGCAGAGCTCCACACACAGGTGCTCAGGCACAGCACAGAGTGGAGGTCCAGTATCAATCTGATGGCTGGAGGATGCTCCCCTGCCCCTCCTTGCTCCACCCCTCCATAGGTCAATATTGTGAGTCCTAGACCTAGAGAGGCCCCTGGACTCACCGCGGTCACAGCTGTCTCCCTGTCCCGCCTTCCCGCCGCCCGCCCCACAGGCCAGTCCCCACGCCCACACGCCCCGGGCTGTCTCATCTGGCACTGATTATCCTGCCGCCACTGCTGCTGCTGTTGCTGCTGCTGCTGAACTTAGCTGCTGCCTCTGGGCTGAGGACCCCAGCACAGTACCCCCGACATGCTGCCCGCTGCCCTAGCCTCCCTCCTGGGGCCCCTCCTCACAGCCTGGGCCCTGCTGCCTCTTGCCCAGGGCCAGACCCCCAACTATACCAGGTAGGTCTCGGCATCTCCAGATGACCCCAGCAAGCTTCCAAACCCCGGCTCCTGAGGGCTATGCCTGGGGGGTCTGTGGATTCTGCTAACACTCACCCTCGCAGATCTCCCACCCCTCTTCTCTGCATGCAAGGCCTCCCCTTTGCTGTAAGACCATGATCTGCAGGTCACCACTGCTCTCACTGTCACCCTTCATCCTCTGCCCTCCTAAGTCTCCCCCGCCACCAGACCTGTGGCCTCCCATGGAGCTTGAAGGGAGAGCCAAGACCCTGAACTTGCCTGGCAGCTGACATCTGGCTTCCAGAAAGGAAGGAGAGATGGGGGGTTGCGGCTAGAGGAGCCTTGGGAATCGGAATGGGAGCAGGGCAAAGGTGGGGGTGCAGAGCCTGGTCTCTGGGCCCAGTGGGAGGGCCATCTCTGCACTGCTCCCCTCCTCCCTGCCCCTCCTCCTCCCCCTGCCGCCTGGCCTCGTGGCTCATCCACATCTGGAAGTAGTTAGGCAGCTCCCAGTCCAGACTGCCAGGCAGTGAGAGGGAGGAGAGACAGCAAGGGGGGGCCCCCCAGGAGGATTCCGGGAATTCCTGTTGGTTGGGTGGGGCCTCTGGGGACTGCAGGGGGGTCCACCTGGTGGTCCCCTTTTTCTTCCCCCTACTCCAACCCCAGCCTAGCCGACCCTGGCTGCCCTGCACCCCTTTGTCCCCCTCCCTCATTGCCCTGGCCTCTGTCCTCATCCTCATCCCCCATCCCTCCCCTGCTCCCCGCTGCTGACTGACCCCTTCTGTTCTCCAGACCTGTGTTCCTGTGTGGCGGGGATGTGACCGGGGAGTCAGGTTACGTGGCAAGTGAGGGTTTCCCCAACCTCTACCCCCCCAATAAGGAGTGCATCTGGACCATAACGGTGAGAAGGCTTCTTTGGTTACTGTCCTCTTATCAAAGTCTCCCAGGTGAAAAACATCCTGCACCATCTTTTAAGCCTTGTCCCCTCTGGTCACTGAGAGGATCAACAACAAGTTCCCCGGAGCTCAATTCTTAACCCATAACTCAAATCCTATAACCCAAATTCTCCACCCTCAACTTCCTTCCTGTCTTCCCTTATCTCTCCAGAGACCACAGCTGCAGAGCCCAGGGCTTCTGCTCTGCAGCCACAGGGGCCTTTCCAGCCCTTGCCACTGCTGTAGGAAATACTCCGGGTGGGGGAGAAGAACTCTGCCTGGGTCTGTGCAGCCTGACACTGTGGGTCTCATGCCTAATGTCCCTGATATCAGGTCCCCGAGGGGCAGACTGTGTCCCTCTCCTTCCGAGTCTTCGACCTGGAGCTGCACCCTGCCTGTCGCTATGATGCTCTGGAGGTCTTTGCTGGGTCTGGAACCTCGGGCAAGCGGCTTGGACGCTTCTGTGGAACCTTCCGGCCAGCACCCCTGGTGGCCCCGGGCAATCAGGTGACACTGAAGATGACAGCTGATGAGGGAACAGGAGGACGAGGCTTCCTGCTCTGGTACAGCGGGCGGGCCACCTTAGGCAATGGTGAGCCTCCTCCACCTCCACCTCCACCTCCCCTTTCCTTGTCCTGTCCCTGCTCAGGCCCCAGACCCCAGCCCTAACCTCAACCCCCAGACGACCCAATCCCAAGAGCCTAGGGCCACCAATACTCCCTCACCCTTTCTCCTCACTAACCGCCCCTTCAGTCCCTCCTCCCCGTCTTCTCTCCCCCTCCTGCTCCCACCCACCCCTCTTCCAGGCCCCCCGCCAGGCGCGAGGCGGAAATGGGTCATGGACCCGCGGGTGGAATGGGCGGCCTGGGGTTACTGGGACGGTGAGTAACTGCCCGCCCCCGTCCGCAATCGGGCTCCCTCCGACGGGCGCGAGGGGGCATCCCAGGGCTGGGGGGCTAGGTTCCTTTACCCGGAGCCCCCTGCACCCAGCCCTGGGCTCCCGATTGCGGTCCCATCGCCCTCTCCTGGTAGCAGAAATTTCCCTGGAAATGTTTCAGCCGGGGACCTCCCGGAAGGGGCCACGTCAAGGCCCCCCTCACGGAGGGAACTCTTCTGCCAGGCTGGGGAGATGGGATCTCCCAGGGGAAGAGGCTTGGGTCGGGAGGGGCAAAAAGGGGCGCATCCAGCCAGTTCTCCTCCCCTTCCACCGCGCCTGGCTGCAGCTCTGAGTCCCACCCTCTCCTCTCGGCCCCTCTCTGCTAACCTCCCCCTCCCTCCTGCCCACGCCTGGCCCCCTCATATTGAAACCCAGACAGCCGAGCTGCCTGCCCGGCTCCGAGCCAGAACTCTCCTCCAGCTTACTGAGGGTCTCCACTGCCCCCACCCCTCCCCGTCTCTCCCCTCCCCAGAGCACCAGTTTTGTGGGGGGCGGCTGGAGAAGGCGCAGGGAACCCTCACCACACCCAACTGGCCAGAGTCCGACTACCCCCCGGGCATCAACTGTAACTGGCATATCATCGCGCCCCCGAACCAGGTACCGACCCTGTGCCCCGACTGCCCGCGGGGACCCAGGCGACGCCCTCCTGCACCTAGCCAGCAAGGATTTACTGAGCATCTTCTGTGTCCCGAGCCTAGAGCTTGTGTGGACCAAAAATAAGACTCAGACCCTGCTTGCACGCAGACTAAAACTGTAAAATCACAACTCTGAAGTCTTAGGAGAGCGAGGTACACGGGGCTCCGAAACTGCGGCGCTGCGGGGCGGAAATGGGGGCCTTGTTCCTTGAGAGTGAGCCAGGATTTGACCTAGCCAGCGGGGAGAAGTCGCCCTGCCGGCTCCCCTCCCACGGTGGTGCATGACCCTCCCATCCGCGGTGTGAATGTATCAGCGAGGGAACGGGGTGTGGGAGGTGGGGAAGGCGAGAGGTGCAGGGCACCGGTCCCGCCGAGCAGCCTCCGCCTGGGCCGCCGCCAGGTGATCTTGCTGACCTTCGGGAAGTTTGACCTGGAGCCGGACACCTACTGCCGGTACGACTCGGTCAGCGTGTTCAACGGAGCAATGAGCGACGACTCGAAGAGGCTGGGGAAATTCTGCGGTGACACCGCCCCCGGGTGAGGAGCAGGAGAACCTGGGCGTCACCCAGGAGTTTGAAGGGCAGGGTGAAACTGTGGGGCCGGATCTGAGCCCTGGGACTCCAAATGGTTGGGCAGGGCAAGTAGGGGGCAAGCAGAGGCTCGGTGCCTGGCCTTGGAGTCTGCAGATCCGGAAGCTGGAGACGAGGCAAGTGGGGCTCTGAGGTCGAACAGTCAGGAGACCAAGAGGTCAAACGGCCATGCGCTGGGAAGGCAGCGGTGTGCGCCGCCATAACACCTCCCGCTATGCCCGCAGCCCCATCTCCTCGGAGGGCAATGAGCTGTTGGTCCAGTTTGTCTCGGATCTCAGTGTCACGGCAGACGGCTTCTCAGCCTCCTACAAGATCCTGCCGCGGGACGCTGCTGACAAAAAGCCAGCCCCGAGCCCAGGAGGGGATGCCCATCCCGGTCCTCCCACTCATGGCCCCAGCTCTAAGCCTGTAGCTGGACCCAAAGTCAAGCCACCCACCAAGCCCAAAGTTCAATTTGTGGAAAAGTCAGAAGCTTCGCCACCGGCCCAGGGAATTCCAGTGAGCCCCAGTGAGTCTGGGAAGGGGGAGGAAGGGCACTGGGACTGGAGGCAGTTGTTTCAGATGACCTCCTTGGCTCATCTGTTTAATTACCCACTCATTCATTCATTCATTCATTCATTC